GGGGTGGGGGGACTCTAATATATCCATATTTGTGAGGGGCCTGCCTGAGCACTCTGGCCTCAGCCTCATTCTTTTGGACATTCCATCATTGCCCTAGGTGATGACAGCTCATCTGAGGCCCACATTTAGGAGGCTGTAAAAGTGAGAAGCAGCATGAATGAACTAATAGGACTTGGGATATGATGAACCTTGGAGCCTGAAATCGTAAGCTGAAAATCTGCAGACACAATAATGAAGTACCTAGGTTTTTGTGGGAGTTTTGAGGCCTAACCACTGCACCAACATGGGATGTAGGAAACATACTTTTATAGCACATAGAAAAGACACACAGAAGTTTCGTTTCATGGCAAACTTGACCTGGGTCACTGAAACTACTTAGAGTGCTCATGTAGTCTGCAGCAGTGAAGAGCATTGTGAAGATTGAGGTTGTGGATGATTTTGATGTCTGTTCCCTGTGAGAGTCAGGTCATACCTATAGGTTCATTGTTTAAGGGAGATGGGAAGACATAGGGGTATATCTGGGGGAAAATGACCATAATGGTGAGGGAGAGGTGTAAACCATGGCCTAAATGAAACTGCTGAAGGAGTTGGGATTTCCATGTTCATTCATTCATTCATCAACAACTTTAAGTCCTCTGTATATGAGGCAGAGTCCTAGGGATAGCACATAGTAACAGCCACATCATGTGGGTTCTGACACTGGTCTCCATGTAGGTGTAGGTTTGCCTAGCTGTCTAAGAGAGGTGGGGGATGTCTCCATGAAAAGGTGAATTTTGAGTTGAGTCTTGATGGACAGGTAGGACTTTGACACATAAGAAAAAGAGAGGGGAGGGTTTCCCATTAGGAAGAATCAGCATATCCAAAGTCACTAGGCAATAAACTCCAGATATGTATGAGTGATTACATTCCCCAGTGAGCCTGACCCATAACACATATTTGTTCATCTCTCAGGTTGATTGAAATAACATGCCTCCCAAGATTCTATAAGTAACCAAAGTAGACTGAGATAAATATTGAATGAGGGTAGTCAGGGACACAGTACACAGGACTATGTGTCATGCTTAGGAGTTTGGACCTTTTCATGGAAGGAAGAGGAAACATTAAAGTTAGGAAGTGGCATGGTCAGATTTTCATTTTTGAAACAGGACATTGGCAGCTGCTGAGAGACTGTGAATCTGGAGACAAACAACTAGAAGACCTCTGCAAAAGTCCAGATGAGGCCAGGCACTAGGAGTGGAGAGGAGGGGACAGGTTTAAGAGAGACTCAGAAAGCAGACTGGATGGGAGCTGGTAGTGATTATATGCATGTGGTGGAATGTGAGCTTCCATCATGAGCTGCTGGGTAAATGGTAGGGTCACAGACGTGGGGAGGGGACTGTTGATTAGATAGTGCAGGATAAGTAGTGGAACTCTGCATCAGTTGAATTAAAGGAACCTTTGGGACACTGGGATGGAGATTTTCAGAAAAGATTCATGGGCAGTTTTGAGAGAGGTCTATGCTTGAAACTTGGTGCTTGCAAAATGAATCTGACCCTACTTCTTGCCCTTGACTACACTCTGACCTGCCTGGAAGTTCCAGGATGTTTTCTCCTCCACTGTTCCTCTGAAGTTGAGTATCTACCTCAAGGGGTTTTGAAATATTGAGTCTGAATCGTTCAATAGGAAGAAAAGAGGAAGGAGGAGCAGCAAGATTTAAAGGCAGAAAGAGAAAGAGATGCCTAGAGGCAAAGTTAGGGAAGAGTGAGAGGAGTACCAGGAGAACAGGGTGTCCTGGAAGCAGGGAAAAGGAAAGGCATGAAGGAGGAAGCTGTTGAGAGGATCAGATGCTGCCGAGAGGTCAGCTGAGATAAGATAGACACGTATTTGGATTTGGCGCAAACACAACCACTGCCATGGAGTCGGATTCGACTCACAACGACCCCCTTTGGGTTTCTGAGGCGGTATCACTATGGAAGTAGATTGCCCAACCTTCCTTCCAAGGAGTGGCTGGTGGGTTTGAACCACCAGCCTTCTGGTTAGCAGTCAAGTGCCTTAGGCACTATGCTTCCAGAGTTCCTTCTGCTTACAGAGTGTAAGATCTTTTTAGAGAGTCCAGTGAAGAAATAGGCCAGCTACGGAGATAGTTGACCGCTACTGGAGGTACCCACACAACCACTGTAAGTGGATGACAACAGCTTATCAGCATCGTGTAGATGGAACAGAAAGCCTCTAACGCAGCATTTTCAAACTGTTTCACCATGACCTGCAATACGAAATACCTGTTTACTTTGCAACCCATAAGCCATTATACATCTATACAGAATTGCAAGCAGCAGTTTCATATTTCTGTTTTATTATACCTTTGAAACCTTGCTGTTTATAGCCGACTGAATTGTTTTCCAGCACTAATGAGTCTCAACCTGCAGTATGTAAAATCCTGTTCTAAAGTCAGAGGTTCTTAGACCGTCAGCCCTATATGGACTAGGCTTGAAGATGGCGTTTGAAGATGGCGTTTGAATCTGGCTCTTCCACAGTGATGGTGGCATGAATTAAAAATGAGTAAGAAAATTCTGTTGTCAGATTCCTGGGTCTAAGTGGTGGAATGTCCCATCTGTCAGAACTGCTCCTGACCTACCAGGGGAGTGGCCTGCTTTGCAGGCCTGCAGGGCAGTGTTGGAGGGAACCTTTACTGGCCTTGGGCTGGAGAATCACAGAGGCTGCCCTGGCAGTCTGTCTGTCCTGAAGCTGGCAGCACTCCTTCTGTGCCAGCAGTAGTTTATATTACGAGAGCGAGTGTGTATGGATGTGTGTGTGCATGTGTTCTCCTCCAGGCCTTTATATTAAAGACGAAGGAGTGGCTTTTAAAAATAACATATTTTTTGACTTGAGACAAGTCAAGGCAGAGAATGGAGACAATTAAAAACTGACATCCTGTTTAGTCATCTCTCCTGAGTGCTCTATTTTCAGAACTTCTATAAAGATTCATAAGAGGTGTTAACATAGTTAAGGGAAGATTGTTAAGTTAGCAGGAGTCATGATACTAATAGCTGATTTGAACACTGGGGTGATTTGCAGTGTGGTAACCAAGTTGGTAACAGATTTTATGCAGAGAAAGGGAGGGTTGTAAGAACAGGTAAAACTTTTTGAATTGGTACCAAACAGAGATCTTTTGTTTTGAAAACAGGGTGTGATGTTAAAATAAAATAATAATAATAATAAAAAGAATGTGGTCATGACCTAGGGTACGGTTAGTGCATTTTTACAGTGGAAGAGAGGGTCTTTGTTCACCTGTAAGTACAACAACCAAAATCAAATTCACTGCCATTGAGTTGATTCCAACTCATAGCGACCCTCTTTGGGTTTCCAAGGTGGTAAATCTTTATGGAAGTAGATTACCCAGTCTTCCTTCTGCGGAGTGGCTGGTGGGTTTGAACCGCCGACCTTTCCTAGTAAATAAATAAGAACAGTAAATAGTACTGTTAAAGTTCTTTGAGATCATCTGATAGAAACTGTGTCAGAAATGCTGAATAATGATGTCATGGGCTTTCAGATGGAGCCCCTGAGTAGTGTATCTAGCTAACGTGTTTAGCTGCTAACTGAAAGGTTAGAGGTTCTAGTCTACCTGGAGGCACCTCACAAGAAAAGCCTAGTGATCTACTTCTGGAAATCAGCCATTTAAAACGCTGTGGAGGACAGTTCTTCTCTGACACATGAGGTCGCCAGGAGTTGTAATCAATTCGAAAGCAGGTGGTTTTAGGCTTTCAGATGAAAACAGTGAGATTTGAAGTGAACAAAGGGCCTTGCCCAAGGTCCAAAGCCAGCAGTGGCAGAGTCAGACAGGAGTCCATGTCCTAATCCCTTTCAGAGTTCTTTCTGATACACCATATGATCTGCAGTTTATTTACATTGAATATTCTACCAGAATTGACCATCCATATCTGTACTCGACTTCCCTTCACCTTCCTCCTTGTTGTTGTTGTTATGTGCCGTCGAGTC